AGGCCCTGACGTCAAAAGGACATGGGTTCGAGCCCCAGTCACACCCCTTCTTGGCTGTGTGATCTTGAGGAAGTTACTAAACCCCTCTGAGCCTCCATTCTCCATCTACAGAAGGGAAGCTCTGGTAAAGTTCACCTCTAAAGGACTCCTTGTGTGGTGCTGTAAGATAAGCACTGGACCCCTAAGGTCAGCGGTTCAAACCCACCAGCCTCTCCTTGGAAACTCTATACAAGGATGCTGTGAGTTGGAACCGACTCCACGGCATGTAACAAAAAAGGGATTTGAGTAGAGTGGTACAATGGCCTGGCCTAAACAATGACAACCCTGCTAGGCCCCATTGCTACCTCCCAGCAGCCCCTGGGGCTCCTCTTGTGTGGTGCCCCCCAGCAGGACTTCTTCAAGTCACAAGAATGCTACAGGATAGTTCACCTTAAAATGGTCAATTCTATGTAATGTGAATTTCACCCCAACAAACTCTTGAAAAATTCTAGAACCTTCTAGGTCATTTGAATACAGCCTTAAATATCTGGCTTCCTATAATTGATCATAAATTGCAGTTGGAAGTCAGCCAACCATCTTGGATATTCTTAGTGTATTGTACCTATTAAGGTATTGTTGAGATAGCAAAAGGGAAGAAACTATCAGATGTGGTCCCTTTCCAGGAGGATGAGTGTAAGCACCCAAGGCAGGACTACTGGGCATAATCTCCCAGCTGTGAGGCAGGTGGAATTGACCCTATTTTACAGATGCGGAGACTGAGGTCAGGAAGAGCAATAGTCTTTTTGGTCTCAACATGCTTCCTTGAGCCTGTCCTTCCTTTCTTACAGGCAGTGAGTGGCAGGGAGGCTGCCCTGCTTGACCTGGAGCCCGCGCATCCATCCTTCCATCCGTCTGTCCCTCTGTCCCCAGAGCATCTGTGTCCAACAAGGAAAGGACTAGAACATGCTCTAAAGATCTCTCTGCATCCAGACTGAGGAAACGAGGGGCACGCTGAAAACGCAGAAGGTAGGAAGCTGGGTAGCTGGATGGGCTGGATTCATTCATTCATATTTTCAACCAGTGCACACTGATGCCAACTGAGGACCCAGCTCACTGCCTCACAGTGGAGACACAGCAGAATAAGCCAGGAACAGACCGAGCAAAGACTGGTGAAGGTCAGCTCGAGAGCAGAGAGGAGTATGACCAGGGGACATCATGGAGACACAGGACAGTTAGGCTACTTTAGGCAGTGTGGGTGGGCCCGGAGGAAGTGGTACCCCAGCGATGGCCACCTGCTCTTTCAGATGACAGTGATGAGGGGACAGCATGGGCAGAGGCCACCTCTCAGGGAGATGTACATTCGTGCCTTTATCCTCAAGATGCTTCTCAGAGGGAGGAAGTATTCTTATCCCTGTGGACAGGTATGCATGTGAGGGGTTCAAGGCCACCCCACTCTGAGCTTGGCAGGTTTGAGGAACAGCAAGGAGAGTCTGGGGGAGAAGAAGCAGCAGGGAGGAGACGCCACCATGCAGAGAGCCTAGAGCCCCAGAAAAATGTTTGGACTTTAGTTTACGTACAAACAAGATCTGGGGCAGTCCTGAGCAGGGAGCACCGTGACTCCAGCGACGGTGTGCAGAGGGATGGGGAGGAGGTGCTCAAGGAAGGTAGAGAAAGTGGGAGGCCGCTGGTGCTCCAGGTGAGAGAAGGTGGTGGCCCTGGTGGGCCAGGTGAGAGATGGAGGGAGAAGGAGATTTGGAATAAAATGACTATGTTGCAATACTGAAGGATTCTTTGAGCAAACCACTGAATGATGCAGAAAACATCCAAAGAAAATAGAAGGACTACACAGAGTCACTGTACTAAAAAGAAATGGTCGACGTTCAGCCATTTCAAGAGCCAGTGATACTGAAGGAAGAAGTCCAAGGTGCACTGAAGGCATTGGCCAAGAGCAAGGCTCCAGGAATTGATGGATGTAAGACAAACTGAAATCTCTCAACAAACTGATGTGGCACTCGGGGTACTCACACATCTCTGCCAAGAAATTTGGGCAACAGCTACCTGGCCAACTGATTGGAAGAGATCCGTATTTGTGCCCATTCCAAAGAGAGGTGACCCCACGGAATGCAGAAATTATCGGCCAATATCATATGCACGTAAAATCTTGATAAAGAAAATTCAAAAATGGCTATGGCAGCACATTGACAGGAAGTTGTCAAAAGTTCAAGCTAGATTCAAACAAGGACATCAGAGAATACCAGTAAGATGTTTACTTGTGCCTTATTGACTATGCATAGGGTTTAGACTGTGTGGATAACATTGCAGAGAATGAGCGTTCCGGGACACTTAGTTGTGCTCATGACCCTTACATAGACCAAGAGGCAATTGTTCAAACAGAACAAGGAGACACTGAATGGTTTAAAATCAGGAAGACTCATTAACAACCTGCAATATGCTGATGATACAGTCTTGCTTCCTGAAAGATCAAAGGACCTAAAATATTTACTGATCAAGATCAAAGACCAAGCAAGCCTTCAGTATGGGAAAACAGAAATCTTCACCCCCTAGCCAATAAATAACATCATGATAAGTAAAGAAAAGATCGAAGTATCATAGACTTCGTTTTGCTTGGATCCACCATCAGCACTCATAGAGGCAGCAGTCAAGAAAGTAAACGACGTATTGCATTAGGCAGATCTGCTGCACAAGTGTTCAAGAGCAAAGATGTCAGTTTGAGGACTAACATGTGTCTGACCTTAGCCGTGGTGTTTTCCATAGCTTTTTATGCACATGAAGGTTTGACACTGAATAGGAAAACCATCGAAGAATTGATGCATTTTCAGTTATGGGGGTTGGAGAAAAATATTAAAAGTACCATGGACTGCCAGGAAAACAAATCAATCTGTGATAAAAAGTATAATCAGAATGCTCCTTAGAAGCCGGGGTGGCCAGAATCCATCTCTCATACTTAGGACGCATTATCAGAAGGGGTCAGTCCGGGGAGAAGGATACCATGCTTAGTAAAGTGAAGGGTCATCGAAAAAGTGGGAGCCCTCCAATGAGATGAATTGGCACAGTGACACCAGCCCGACTTGTAACCACACTACCAGAGCCCTGCATTTGCCAAGAAGGGTAAAATAGGAAGGTAGGAAGGGTGCCCAGGATATATATACTAAGAAAGGGGACAGAAAAAGCTAAAGTGGATAAAGAGAAATACTTTTAACTGATGGTATATGGAGGGGATTATAATCAATGTAATGAAACAAGTTATATGAATTGTTGAATGTGAAACTGATGATGTGCCCTGTAAACTTTCACTCAATCCACAATAAAAACCTTAAATTAAAAAAAAAAAAAAAGGGGGACAGAGTGTACATGTGTATGTGTGTTTGTGTTTGTATGACTGTATATGTATGTATGTATATATCACATGTTTCATGTTGTCATGTGCCATTGAGTTAATATGACTCATAGCGACCATGTTCAGGGTTTCTAAGGAGCGATTGGTGGGTTTGAGCAGCTCATGTGCATATATGTGTGTGTGTGTACGTGTGTGTATTGTGAGTGGGTATGTGTGTATGGGTGTTTGTTTGTATCATGGAGTGTGTGTATAAGAGTATGTGTATGCATTTGAACATGTATATATGAGCGTGTGTGTGTGTGAGAATGTTTAAGTACGTTTCCAGATGTAGGGAGACATCCGGAAGGGTGTATACAGCAGCTCTCTTTTCTGGAGAATGGGCCAGACTTTGATTTTCTGCTTTTATCTCTTGAATTTGGTTTATGTATTTATTTGCAATGAACGTATACCACTTTCATCAGTTAAAGATTCCTCCACTGTGAAAAGCCAAAGCCAGACCAGTTTCCCTCTTCCCTCCTCCCTGCCTGCCGCAGGATGAGACACTGCGTCTTCCTGGGATGCAAATGAAGAACAGAAATAGACCTTCTCAAAAGACATTGCCCTGTCTCAGTTCTCCAAGGCTGCTATAACAGAAATACCACACGGGGTGGCTTTAATAAGCAGTCAGACTGTTTTGCACAGCTTGTTAAGTTGTTAAGTGCCGTGCAGTCGGTTCCGACTCATAGTGACCCTGTACAGGGTTTCCGAGGCTATAAATCTTTACGGGAGCAGAAAGCCTCATCTTTCTCCCGTGGAACAGCTGGTAGTTTTAAACTGCTGACCTTGCGGTTCACAGCCCAATTCGTAACCACTACATTACCAGAGTTCACAGCTCAGGAGGCCTGAAGTCTGAATTTAGGGGGTCAACTCTAGGGGAGGCTTCCTCTCTCTCTCTCTCTCTCACACACTCTGAAGAGGGTCCCTGTTTCTTTTCAGCTTCTGCTCCTTGGTGCTCTCCATGTGGCCCGGCATCTGTGTCTCCCCCCCCCCCCCAACCCCGTCTCTGCTGGCTTCTCTGTGCCCCATCTGTTCATTTCATATACCCTAGACCTACTGCCATTGAGTCAATTCTAACTCACAGTGACAGAGCTCCATGGGGTTTCTGAGACTGTAAATCTTTATGGGAACAGCCAGCTTCATCTTTCTCCCCCAGAGTTGCTGGTGAGTTTGAACTGCCGACCATTCAGTTAGCATCCTAATGCTTAACCCACTGCACTACCAGGGCACCTTTTTAGATCCCCAATGTGACTGGCTTAAGACACACCTTACACTAAGTAATATGGGCTCATTAAGGATCAAACAACAAATGTAACAAAACCCTGTTCCCCATCGGGATTCTATCCACAAGGCTAGTGGTTGAGATTTATAGCACAGACACAGTTCAATCCAAAATATCACCGAAGCCAAATCCCATCGCTGGCACACTGGACTGTTGAAGCCCCCCCTTGTAGCAGCACTAGGGAACTGAGAGGTGAGGTCAGTCCCAGGAGTCAGTTCATGGAGTTTGATGGTGGTAAGCAGTCTGGGCTGCCCTCCGTGGCCCTAGTGTCCCTAAGCCCCCTCCCACCCTGCCACCGCTCACCACACCTTTGTCCCCTCCTCGTCTCCCTACAGTGCCCCGGTCTCTCTGTCCACCATGGCCTCAGCCGACATGAATGGCGGGAGCGTTTCCTCTTTGTCCAGCAGCCGTCTGCAGAGTCGGAAGCCACCTAACCTGTCCATCACCATCCCGCCAGTCGACACCCCAGCCCCAGGCGAGCAGGTCAACATGCTGCCCGAGGTAAGGGGCTGCTTTGTCACCGAGACAACACCTTCTGGGTGGACCCACTTCCTGGAGAGGAGGCTCCTTCCAGAACTGCAGTCTCATGTGGCCCTCAACACCTGACTCCACCCTGCTCCTCCCCGGGTCTGAAGTTTCACTAGGAGGAAGACCAGACCCTCGGGAGCTAGTCTCATGTAGCCCTTGGGACCAGAGACCATGCTGTCCCCGTGTAGGGCTTGCAGATTCAACCTGGGGCTGGCTGTGTACACTTCATCTCAGGGAACCTGAGCTTGGGTGTGCCCCTGGCTGCTAGCAGCACTGCGTAAGAAAGTCCTGGTGCTCTGCTTCCACAAAGATGACCACCAGGAAGCCCCTGTGGAGCACAGTTCCACTCTGTAACACCTGGGGTCTCCATGAGTCAGAATTGGCTCGATGGCATTCGGTTTGGTTTTGTGGGTGCATCTGAGGGATGAGACTGCCGGTGACTGAGGTGAGCAGGGACCATGTCAGGTTAGCACAGGCGGCCTGATGTTGTTGCTCCAATGCCTTTGGGAGAGTGGGAATGAATCAGTGTGTCCTCCCATCTAGACGATTCCTCCATAAAGAGCTCATTGAGCCAAGGCCCCAACCAGCGTGGGCTCCCGTGCATAAAGGGGAGCTGTGTTGGCCTCTCGTTAATCCTAAGAGCTCTTTAGAACATGCAGTGCCAGGCAAGGACATCAAGGGGTCATGAGAGTCCACTGGGGGTGGGGATGGGGCGATGAGGGCTGGCCTGCCAGGCGTGACCCACAGACGATAGAAAATGGTGAGTTTACATTTGAAGTGAAGGCTAAGGAGGTGGACGCTGGGGAGAGACGTGTTCTTGTGGGGTGTTCTCTTTGGTCAGGGGTCACAGCCCTGCCTGTAACTATGACAACCACCCTGAGCTCCCTCCCGCCTCCCCACAGAGACCCAAGAATCCTGCCTACTTGAAGAGCGTCAGCTTGCAGGAACCGCCGCGGGGACGATGGCCAGAGAGCAGCACAGAGAAGCGTCCCAGCTTCCGCCGCCAGGCCTCCCTGTCCCAGAGCATCCGAAAGTGAGCTCCCAGCAACCTTGTAGGCTAGAAGTACCTTTCCCCAAGGGAGAGGCAGGAGGAGGGGGAGCAAGTCCTTGGGGCATCTATGCCTTACACACAGTCCCAGTGTCGAGGTTAAGAGGGCCCAAGTTCAATGACCTGGGTAGACCCACGCCCCTCAGCTCCCAGAGGCCCCTCTGATGTGGGCTCTAGTCCTCCTCTACTCACTTGGTCGCTGGGTTACAAACCTAAGGACTCACTGCCTTGTGTGTGCATGCACACATGCGTGTCACAGGGACACACAGACATATGTTCCCATGTCACTCCCTGCATGCACACAAGGACACCAGCACGTGATCACGTCACACCCTACACGGACTTGGGAATACTGGTGCGTTCTCTCTCACGGCACACGTGCACACACAATGGGCAAATGTATGTCACTGTGTGCACATGGGGACATCCTTATGAAATCACGCTCTCCTGTGCACCCCTCACCACCCTGCAGGCCTGCCTAGGCACACATTTGTGCATACTTTCTGCTTGCTCCCTTAGGGGTACGGCCCAGTGGTTCGGGGTCAGCGGAGACTGGGAAGGGAAGCGGCACAACTGGCAGCGCAAGAGCCTGCATCATTGCAGTGTGCGCTACGGCAAGCTGAAGGCCTCATGCCAGCGTGACCTGGAGCTGCCCAGCCAGGAAGTGCCCTCCTTCCAGAGCACTGAGTCTCCCAAAGCCTGCAAGATGCCCAAGGTGGGCCACCCAGGGGCCAGGGGAGCGGCCGGTGCTTTGCCCCAGGATCAGAAGGGCCCCCACTCACCACCTCTGTCCCTCACAGATTGTGGACCCACTGGCCCGGGGCCGGGCCTTCCGCCACCCCGATGAGGTGGACCGACCCCACACTGCACACCCACCGCTGACCCCGGGTGTCTTGTCCGTCACTTCGTTCACCAGCATTCGCTCCGGCTATTCCCACCTGCCTCGCCGCAAGAGGATTCCTGTGACTCATATGAGCTTCCACGCTGCGGCTGCCCTGTTCAAGGTGAGAGACTCCACAGCCAGGCCCTCCGCCTTCTAGTCCCAGTTCCCTCTGGAGTCTCCTGTGGCCTCGGTTTTGGAAGCTGGGGATGTAGGTGAAGTCACCCCCACTCCATCTGTGTTTACTGAGCACCTGCTATGTGCTGGGTGAATGCTGCAGTCTGCTCAGACAAGCTCCCAGCTCCAGGGCAGAGTGTGAGGGCTGACATCTGCTCAGGGGAGGATTCCCCATCTTTCTCCTGAGAGAGGAATGTTGTCCAGAATGCTTTGTTCTGGAGTGACACTTGGACTGAGCCCAAAAAGAAAAAGTGTACCAGGAACAGAAGGGTGGAACAGCATGTGTAGAGGCCTTGAGCAGGAGGGAGCTGGGAGCTCAGTGGGGCAGCAGGTGAAAATCTGATGTGGTTTGAGTGAGGGGTTGCTCCAGGAGGCATGCCAGGAGACGAGGGGCCAGGAAGTCAGGATAAGGGAGTGACTAAGCCTGGGAGCTGAGAGTATTGGACACCCAGAGCTAGCCTGGGTTTACTTGGAATGGAGGGGCACCCAAAGCGGAGGGGCAGGGGTCACCAGGGAGAAGGCATACAGGTCATGGTGAGCAATGTGTTTGGGGCTGGTAGAGCTCCTTCCCCAACTCTAAGGCTCCCTGCTTTGGGCAGGATCCCTACCTTTATGCTGTTATCCTGGAGGGATGGGGTTTGATGGTCCCTTGGGAGACTCCAGAGCTAGATCCGGGGTCCTGACACCAGGCTTCTGCCCATGACAGGGACGCTCAGTGCTGGACACCGCTGGACAGCAGCACCGGCTGGTCAAACGCAGCTTTGCCTACCCCAGCTTCCTGGACGAGGACATGGTTGATGGGGCAGACACCTTCGACTCCTCCTTTTTTAGTAAGGCAAGCATGGGGTGCGAGCCCTTGGGTGGGCTGGGTGGCCTGGGGGCTGGGACAGGTGGGACAGGTGGTCTTGTCCTGGGTCTTCATCAGCTTCCACACGGCCCGGCAGGGTGAGCAGTGTCGTTGCATGGAGTCATCGGGTCTGTCTTTCTGTCTGGGTCCAGCTGATGATCCGGGGTGAGATGCGGAGCCCGCTGGTCAGTCTGCCTCACGGCCAGCTCCCACCTCCCTCCTGGAGAGTCAGTCTGTCCAGCCTCGACCTGGTCCTGGAGTTGGGGTACTGGGGCAGGCTTCTTTCTTACACTCCCTTTTTATACCCCCTCTGTGTCCCCCAGGAAGAAATGAGCTCCATGCCCGATGATGTGTTTGAATCCCCCCCTCTCTCTGCCAACTACTTCCGAGGGATCCCACACTCAGCGTCTCCAGTCTCCCCAGAGGGGGTGCAGATCCCTCTGTGAGTGCTGGGGGTCCCTGCTCCTACTGGAGAGGGCGGGAAGCCTCCAGGGCCCACAGCAGATACCTGTGCCCCTCCTGCCGTCTGTCCCACTCCACGGCCCAGCTACTGCTCAGCCCAGGGGCTTCCTGCACGTCCCTCCCGCCTCCGGCCCCCACCTGAGCCCTCAGCTCAGGTATGGGATGTTGGGACTGATAGCTGCCATCCCTGCAGGAAGGAGTTGGGCCACACCCGGCGAGGCAAGCGCATCACCTCTAAGGTAAAGCACTTTGCTTTCCACCGGAAGAAGCGGTACTACGGCCTGGGCGTGGTGGGCAACTGGCTGAACCGCAGTTACCGGCGCAGCATCAGTAGCACTGTGCAGCGGCAGCTGGAGAGCTTTGACAGTCACCGGTGAGTGGACGCTGGGGGAGGCCTGCTTGTCCAGGGGCCTCGGTCCACACACACAAGGCAGGGTATGGTCCCAGGGATGTAGGGAGGCCTACCCCTCCTGGAGGCTCCTTCAGGATCCTAGAGACCCCCCCACAGGTGTCGGCAAGGTAGAGGGATAAAGCACCACCAGCTCCCGTGGTCCATTCATTCGGTGTCCCCTGAGCAGCTCTGAGGGCCAGGTAGGCAGAGGCCAGCAGAACAACACCATGTGCCCAGGGAGCATATCCCTCCCCTGGAATGGGTCCTTGGGGGCTCGCTGCCACCTCTGCAACCCCTGCTTCTGGTTTCCCTGGTCCTGGGAGCCCCAGAAGGGGGCAGGGAGGGCAGGGTGGGCTCAGGGGACCATGAATGAGACGTCTAGAGGTACTCAGATATTCTTGGGGTAGTCAGAAGACTGGGGTGCAGTTGGCAGCAGCCCAGTACACAGAATGACAAACAGCCTGGTGGTGACAGGTGGGGGGGATAATAAGTATGCTGACCGCTGCCAAGGAGGAGGAGGAGGACAGGATGACTAGCTAGCAGGGAGGGGTGCAGTCAGAGCAGCAAGAAGAGCCCGCCTGCTGTGCAAAGGCCCTGGGGCTAGAGGGAGCCGGTGTGTTCCAGGAGTGAGAATGGGCTACCTGGGTGCCACATGGCCCTGCCGGGCAGCGGGAGTCTTCTAGACTCCGTACCCAGGGCAGCGGGAGCCCATGTAGGGTTTGAGCTGCACAGATGATTGTTTCAAAGTGAGCTGGCCCCTGCCCACAGGCCATACTTCACATACTGGCTGACCTTTGTCCACATCATCATCACGCTGCTGGTCATCTGCACTTATGGCATTGCACCCGTGGGCTTTGCCCAGCACATCACCACCCAGCTCGTGAGTAGACTGGCCTCACCAGCGTTGTCGCACCAAGCAGGGAGGGGGTCCTCAGGGCCCCAGAGTGTGGTACCTGCGATGGAGAAACTGCCTGCCTCCTGCTACCCTATTCCACCCAGGGGAGGGGCCTTCCCTGGACACTCCGAGGCTGCCTTCTCCCCCCACCTGGTCTCCAGATGCCCGGGGCCCTCACATCCTCATGCTTCTCCTCCCTCTCTGCCTCGGCCAGGTGCTGAGGAACAAAGGTGTGTATGAAAGCGTCAAGTACATTCAGCAGGAGAACTTCTGGATCGGCCCCAGCTCGGTGAGGGACTTGGGGAGACGTCAGCCAAGCAGGCCTCTGCCCCCCTGTACCCTTCTGAGCCAGTCTGCCCGTGCCGTGACCTGGGTCTCGCTCACGCCCTCTCTCCTCGCCCCACCTCTCCGCCCTTGCCAGATTGACCTGATTCACTTGGGAGCCAAGTTCTCTCCCTGCATCCGCAAGGACCAGCAGATAGAGCAGCTAGTGCAGCGGGAGCGGAAGCTGGAGCAACACTCGGGCTGCTGCGTGCAGAATGACCACTCAGGTTGCATCCAGACACAGCAGAAGGACTGCTCGGTGCGCCTAGTGCCCCGCCCCGGCCACACGGTTTCTCCCATGCCACCGGCTCTTGGGGGGGAGTCAGGGAGTCTCTTTTCTTGTTGGGCAGAGTCCCTTCCTCTGCTCATCTCTGCCCTCCCCAGCCCTGCACACACTCAATGGCTGGCTGAGCTGCCTCCACTCGAGAAGCAAAGTGGGGTCTCTGGGTGTAGGGGAGCCGTGAGGGCAGGTCTGGAAGCTGGGGGGAGCCCCTTGACCACTTGGACAGGGTGAATTGTCCTCCACTGTCCTCTAGGAGACTCTGGCCACTTTTGTCAAATGGCAAGATGACACTGGGCCCCCCATGGACAAGTCTGACCAGGGCCAGAAGCGAACATCAGGAGCTGTGTGTCACCAGGACCCCAGGTAAGGTCTGCGGGCCCTCAGAGAGGATGGGGCTGATACTCCTCACGGTATCTGGGCCACCACTGGGGCTTCAGTGATGAGCTTGGTAGCCAAGAGTCAGTGCCACGCACTTTACCCGCTCTGACCCCGTCTCCAGAACCTGTGAGGAACCGGCTTCCAGTGGTGCTCACATCTGGCCAGATGACATCACAAAGTGGCCGGTGAGTGCCCTAGTGGGTAGCAGTCTGCGCAGTGAGTGGGGGATGCTGCCCACGGCATGGACTCCCTTGCCCACAATGCTTTCCACAGATCTGCACCGAGCAGCCTAGGAGCAACCACACGGGCTTCATGCACATGGACTGCCAGATCAAGGGCCGCCCGTGCTGCATTGGCACCAAGGGCAGGTCAGCTTCAGGCCCACCCTGGGGGTTCTTCAGGGTCTACCTCCTCCACACGCACCTCTACTTCCACACTGGCTGAGCCCCACCTTGCTCTGGGGCCACACACTCCAGAGGAGCACCCGCTCTGGCCAGGGGTTGGGCTGGGGTGAGGCAGGGTGTCCTCAGGACCTGACACCCCACTTCCTCCTACCCCTCCCCTACGCCCCAGCTGTGAGATCACCACGCGGGAGTACTGCGAGTTCATGCATGGTTACTTCCATGAAGAAGCCACGCTCTGTTCCCAGGTGAGCCATGTCTCGGAGGACAGAGGGGTGTCCTCGTGGGGAGCAAGGCTGCTGGCCTGGCACGATTAGGTGGGGTAGCCACACTGGGGTCAGGCCTCGGGCATTTGCTGCTGCAGTGTGTGGCTCCCAGGGGCACTGACCCCTGGGTCCTGCCCGCCCCCAGGTGCACTGCTTGGACAAGGTGTGTGGATTGCTGCCCTTTCTCAACCCCGAAGTCCCCGATCAGTTCTACCGGCTCTGGCTGTCTCTGTTCCTACATGCTGGGTAAGAGAGGACTCCTGGGTCCGGGCATCCTGGCACACCCTGGCAGGAAGGAAGACCCATGTCTGTGTGGGAAGACCCATGTCTGGTGTGTCCTCATCCCAGTGTGGTGCACTGCCTGGTATCGGTGGTCTTCCAGATGACCATTCTGCGGGACCTGGAGAAGCTGGCTGGCTGGCACCGCATCTCCATCATCTTCATCCTCAGCGGTATTACTGGCAACCTCGCCAGCACCATCTTCCTGCCTTACCGGGCAGAGGTAGGGATTCGTGGTGGGCAGGTCGGGACTTTCCTTGGAGAAAACAGCTGTGCTGAGCAGGGTCCATGCTGCTCCTGCCTACCCGGGGTCTGCCAGGAGACTCAGTCCATCCCTTTCACTCTCCTGCCAGCTTAGCTGTGGATGGACACTAAGCCATGGGCTTAATCACCAGAGAGGGAACAGCTCAGCCACCTGAGTCACCCAGATCCCAGACCCCTCCCCTATGCTCAGATGTCACCCCCAGAATGCCCTTCCCTGACCACGGCCCCTCGCTGTCTCTTGACCCTTCATGATTTCTGTTCCAATCCATTGCTGTTGTGTTAATTCCAACTCGTAGCGACCCTATAGAACAGGGTAAAATGCCCAGCAGGATTTCCCAGTCTCTCGTCTTTACGGGAACACACTGCCCATCTTTCTCCTATGGAGTGACTGGTGGTTCGGTTGGCAGCCGACTGCTTAACCACTGCGCTACGTGGGCTCATGTATAATCGTGTTGTTAAGTTCTGGCTCAATAGGCTAAGCAATGTGAAATTGCCAAAGTCCAGAAAGAACAGTTTATTATGGTAAGAGGTAGATAACATAAAAGCATTTGAACCATTTGTAAGTGTACCTCTCAGTGACGTTGTAAAGTACTATTGAGTCAGTTTTCGACTCAGAGGGTTTCCTAGAAGCAGCTGCTAGGTTTGAACTGTCAACCTTGTGGTTATTAATCTAGTGCTTATCCTATAGCACCACACCAGGACTCCATAAATAGCATAAAACGTAACCATTTTAATTAACTATTTCTAAGTATGGCACAAGATAAAGCACTGGGCCAAAAGGTCAAGCTGAACTACCGGTTGGAGGTTCAAAACCACCAGCCGCTCTTCAGAAACCCTATAGTGGGTTGCTATGGGTTGGAACCAACTCGACAGTAGAACAAGAAGTGTACAATTCAGTTAGTTACGTTCAAAACATTGTATAGTCTCCTTTGCTCTTTGTTTCTAAAACCTCATCATCCCGGACGGAAGCCCAGGACACGTTGACTGGTCCTGCCTCTCACCCTTTGTCTGCTGGTTCCGTGTCTGTCCCCACCCCATCATCAGCCGCCAGAGCAGGCTTGTCTGATTCGTGTCTGGCATTTGGTCCACACCCAGCACAGCAGGCGCTCAGCATCTGCTGGAGGGCTGGATGCAGCCCGGCAGCTCCCTTAGCCCCTCAGCCTCAGGGTCAGCACTGGGAGACTCACAGGATGGTTGGGGTCCCAGTGCTCCATCCTGGTGGTGATGCAGCCCCCTGCCCTCAGGTGGGCCCTGCCGGCTCCCAGTTCGGTCTCCTCGCCTGCCTCTTCGTGGAGCTCCTGCAGAGCTGGCAGCTGCTGGAACGGCCCTGGAAGGCCTTCCTGAACCTGTCAGCCCTGGTCCTCTTCCTGTTCGTCTGCGGCCTCCTACCCTGGATCGACAACATTGCCCACATCTTTGGCTTCCTCAGCGGCCTGCTGCTGGCCTTCGCCTTCCTGCCCTACATCACCTTCGGAACCAGTGACAAGTATCGGAAGCGTGCCCTCATCCTGGTGTCCCTGCTGGTCTTTGCCGGCCTCTTTGCCTCTCTGGTCATCTGGCTCTACGTCTACCCCATCAACTGGCCCTGGGTCGAGTACCTCACCTGCTTCCCCTTTACCAGCCGCTTCTGCGAGAAGTATGATCTAGACCAAGTGTTGCACTGACTCTCTGCGCTCCCTGGGCTGAGCCACTGTCCTCAGAGCGGTGACGACCCGCCTGCCATTAGGTGCTGGCTTCAGGACACTCCATCATATCCCCCAAGACCCCAGGTGGGGTGGGACCCATGACTCCAGTAGGAGAGCCAATTTAAGGACATGTCTCTTGGGGGAGTGAAGCCTCCTTTCTCAGACTATGTGTCCCTGGTCCAGGCTGGTTCTCAGGGTTCCCACCTCAGACCTAAGCCCCTACTCATCTCCTGGGGTGGGTTCAGTTGTCCAAGGTTCTGAGGCTGCTGCCTTCTCCCAACTTGGCCTCCAATGTGCCTTCTGTTACCATTACTGTGAATGTGCCCTTTCCTTAGGTAGCCCAGAATTGTCTCAAGACTGGGTGCCCTGGTTCCTGCCCGATCTCACCTCACCCTGCCTCTCCGTCCCTTCCGGCCCTGTGAGCACGGCCTGAGTCCATCTGCTCTCGCTGGCCTGCATTCAGACTCCAACACAGCTTTGGCTGTGGGCTACAATGCCAGGAGCTTTTAGCAAACAGGGTCTGTTCCCCTGAAGGGTGGAAGGGAGGGCCCAGCATCCCTGTCCCTGACCCACCCTCCTGCCCTTGGGCACTATCAGTGTGTGCTTTACCTCACACCATGTGGGGGATGGCCGGGCCACCCCAAGGACCTGCTCTCAGGGGTTGCTCCAGGCTCAATCGGGTCCGATTGTTTTTTTTGTTTGTTTTTTTTTAATATCAGTTTATATTACATTCATGATTTTTAAAAATAACGCTAACTTTGTATGGACGATGTCTCAAGGGTATTAAATGTTCTTCACAGGTAGGATAGAGTATCGTGTTGTGATTCTGGGACCTGGGGTAAGAGCAGGGGCCCAAAAAAGTGCAGAATTTCCAGGAACTTGGTTGGATCAGAAACTGAATCAAATTCTTATCTGGAAGGAATCCTTAAGACTCAGGGGAACCGACTCCCCAGCCTGCCCTGCCTTGGCTCAGGGTTATTGAGGAGGCTGGCCTGGCCAAGACAGAGTCAGGAAAGGGTGCTGGACTAGGCTTCCTGAAATCGGCTTCCCCCATAACCCTTTACACCACACCTGGGAGGTCAATCACTTTATTAGGGTGGGCAGGGTTGGTGGGGATGTAGGGAGTTGGGTGAGGCACAGGATGCCTAAGGCAAGGGTGAAGTACACCAGCACTGTGCAGCCCCCAGGCTATACCAGATCACTGGTCCAGGGGCACAAGGAGAAGAAGAACACCCCCGCCCCAGCATCAGCTGAGCCCCCTGACTCATTAATTCCTCCCACGTCCCATTTGCCAAGTCCAGCTGCGCTTCATCCGCCCCGCCCCCCGCCAGCATTTCCTCGCGCAGGGGCGGGGCTGGTGGGCGGAGCCTCAGCAGCCGCTGTTCCTGCGCAGGGAGGCGAGGCGCCGCAGGTTACACTGGAGCTCGGTGAAGGCCAGCGAGCCCACTGTGACCGCGCACGGGCCCACTGCCTGGAAGCCGAACTTCTCGTAGAAGGGCACCAGCACATCCTCGCACATGAGCACGGCGCGGCGCACGGCCGGTTGGCCACCTAGGTGCTGCAGGTAGCGCCCTAGCAGGATGGAGCCCTTCCCCTGCTGCCGGAAGGTGCGGTGCACCGCCAGCACGTGCAGGTGGGCCATGTGGCCCCCAGGCCTGTGCAGCGTCAGCGACTCCTGCGGGCGAGTGAGGGACTAGAATCAGGTCATCACTGGGGACACTTGGCGCCCACTACATCAAGGCCAGGAAAGGACTCCCTCCCAGCGCCAAGAAGGAGCTTTCATGAGGGGCTCTGAGACCCCCGGGAGAGGCCAAGCCAGGCTCTGCGGTCCCAGAGAAAGGAAGCTCAGACCCCAGCGAGCCGGCCATTCCGTGCCAGCTGATGAACCAACCGTGGTTTATCCAGGGGCCTACCCCACCAACCCACTCGGTGGCACTTAACAACCACCCCACCTGAGTAAGTCTCTCCTCGTCCCACAGCGAGCCGATGATGAAGGCCACCAAGCGACCCTCCTGGAACCACCCCAGAGACAGCTCTGGACACAGCGTCAGAAAGTGCCGAATCTCGTCTAGGTACAGCGGGCAGGTGCCAGAAACGGAAATGAAGGCTGCACAGGGAAACACGAGTATGACCCGGTGGTCTTGGAGCTCAGTTCTGCAGCCCACTTAGCATTCACATTGGGTCTCCCACCCCATCTCTCATGACCAGAAAGTGAAGATTCAGGGGTGTTGTTTTCCCTACTTCCTCATCCTGAGCATACATAGTCTGATACTGTTGTTGTTAAATACCGTGGAGTCGGTTCCAACTAGCCTCCCCAAAACAGGAGATCGCTTGGGAGCTGGGTCGTGAGGGTCTTCTCTCGGCCGGGCCTAGGGGTACACTACCTTCTCTCTCGATCTCAAACACGCTGGGGGCATCCTCTGGGGTAAGGCAGCGGAACTCGCTGGCGGGGAGTGTGTGGCGCCGCTGGCGGCTCGGAGAGTCCAGGATCCCAGGTGGCAGGTGCAGAGGGATGGACTTCAAGGGGTGGGTGTTCTGCGTGGGCATCCTGACTGCCAGCTTCTCCCTGCTTTGGAAGTGCCCTTCGTGGCTGAGGAGAGCCTGCAGCACCTGTAAGACAAGAGTGAGAGTCTGGTGTGGGTACTTCTTTTGTATCTGGAACTGAGGTGAGGCCAACACTCAAGTGAGGTGGGCACCTCCCCACCCCAGGTGCCAGTCCCTGGCAAATACGGTGCGCTCATCACCCCTGCCCTCACAGCCAGATGATCCCACAAACACCCACACACACCACCGCCAAATCCTGGTGTCCTTGGACCTTTGGGTGTGTCTGAGCCCAGGAGGGGTAAGAGCAATAGGGAAGGCTTGATGAGTGAAAGGCGGGGGGGG